AGCTCAGAATACAACTGCAGCGTGTGGCAGGCCTGGCTTCTGGCCACCAAAATTGCCTCCAGCAGGGCAGGAGCTGAGGCTGTTTGAAGCTGAAAGAACCTGGGGCGGTTTGCGAATTGGGTGGGGCGGGGCCTCAGAGTCACCGGGGCGGGGCTTGCGGGGATCACCAGGCCAATGGAAATACCGAGCTGGCCGTGTGGGGGTGGGCTCAACACAAGAAAGATGGAGCTGGCCCCACGGGTCCACGGGAGGAAGGTACAGCATAGGGATAATTGCAGCCCTCTCTCCACTCCTGGCCCTCAAGCCACACATCTCACTCTCTCCCTGTGTGTCTCTGGCTGCTGTTAGGACCCAAGGTGAGTGCCTGAAAGTGGGTGAGTCTGTGCACAGGCCCTTTAAGAGGACACTTAGGCTTCCAGCCACCCGCTGTCTCACCTGGAAGGACAAAATCCCTGCTGATTTTCACAACTAGATGTTGTGGTGATGCTCTTCCTTACCGTGGGGAGCCCAGCGGGGGAGCCTGGTGTGGGGCCGGGACCCTCTCATTCCTCTGGGGCCTTCCACAGCCAAGATAGCCCTCCTGATTTTCAGTCTCAACATGGCTGCTTCTGTATGTCCTTTTAGGAGTTCTGTTCAGCTAGACTTAAGATGGTTCTCCAGGTCGATTGTTCTGTAATTTCGGTATAATTCTGATGTGGTCATTGGAGGCGGCAAGCACAGCCTTTACTCACTCCATCTTACACTGGGTCCTCCCTTGATAGCTTTTTAAATTTGACTGACTTTATTTTCCATGTTCTGTATCCCTATGTTAGGTTTGTTTCTTTCTCCCCTAAAATGGCTGCCTTTTCCAGTTTGGGGGAGGCAGCTGCGATTCAGGGAACTGGATTTATATAATAATTTTTATAGGACTGGTTTTATGCTTTCTGCCTGCCATTTCCCTCTAGACAATCTTATGAAAGTAGTTTAACTCTTTTACTCTTGGTTTCTTTTGGAAAACAGGAATAATTAGACCTAGCAGAATTGTTAGGATTAAGGTAACGTGAAAAGGCTGGGAAGAAGATACCATGTCACAGTATTTTTGTCCCAGTGAAGTGCAATTTCACACTTACTGCTTTCTGATAGGTAAAAGGTTAATCCAGTTCTTTTGCCAGGATTGTCTACAGCTGCTTGCATTAAACATGTTGACCATTCAAAACTCCACCAAGATAGAAGTAGTGGGTCCTTTCTCAGTTCTTTTTACTTAGGGGCACTCTTCATATTCTTTGTATACCCATCATGTGCATGCCCTCTGCCATGGCTACACAGCATGTGATGCCTAACTTCTAAGGTGGAACTGTTTATTAATTCGTTCTTTCATTTATTCAATCAATATTTAGTAAGCATTTAATATGTGCCAGGTAGAGCATTAAGCGTTTTTCTTACATTTTTTTGCTTCTCTAAAGCCTATGTCTTTAACTACTATGCTATTCTGATATCATATACTTCTTATCAGTATACACATACACACATTTCTATATTGCGTACACACACACACACACGCACACACAATACAGTGTATTAAATAGCAAACATTATTTTCTGAACCAACTTTGCATTCTGCTTTTGGTGTGTGCTTTTTTAAAAATGGGTTTTAAGAAATTTGGACTAGAAATAATTTTTTTGGTAGAAGGTAGACAGC